CGTTATCCGTCTCCTCTTCTTCTTCTTCCTCCCCCCCCCTCATCATCATTACCGTTATCATTACCACAACCATCGCAGCGTCCATAATGGAAATGCCCTTTTGAATTGCCATAATCATCCAGACAAATATGTTTTATACACTTATTGTGCCTAAAATTTATTCCAACCGTCAATAGTGTTTTTCTACTGTGCCAACTTAAAATAATATGTTTACATCTTCCATCATATTCATATCTTGTGGGACTTGAGGCTAATCCAAGTGGGCGGTTGGTAGGTGATCTGGCATAGTTTGTTCCTCCTTTCCCATCAAACATATATCCTGTTCCTTATCTCTCCTCCTTTTTTCGTGTTTGTTTCTCTATTGTAACACCTCTAATCTTCGGCACTTTTATGACCTAAATGAGTTGCAAATGTCGCGATTTCCTTATTTCTCCTCCTTCTTTTGTTTATTTTCGTGTTTGTTACTTTCAATATTGGACACTTATATGACGTAACTGAGTTGAAAATACCGTAAAACTCTAACGAAAACTAAACAATAAACCTGAATCTATCTGTCCTCAGAAAGCGCGAGAGGCCCGCATCAACATGGCTAAGAACGCCAGCAGCGCAGGATTTATCAGCGCCAAGAAGAGAGCGGAGGAGATGATGATGGCGAGGGATGCGGGCATGGACGTTGACGAGAACCACAAGGGGGACATCTTTGAGATGCAGCATCATCACCTGCTCACTTGCTTAGAGAAAACCACGGTCAGTGTGTGTGTGTGTGTGTGTGTGTGGAAAGGGGGGATGGGGGGGGGGCTTTATATCTATTCAACATGCTGAAGCATAAGCCTTGTTCCTGTCAACACTTTCAAGTTGTCGTTTGACTGTTTGTGTTACGTTTCTGTTCTACTTTGTTTCATTTCAAGGCTGCTTGTATGTGCATCCTCTTTTATGCTCCTCTTTATACGTACTGCTGTACTGTTGCAGTGTGATTGATGGTGGTGGCTAAATTGTTGTTGTTGTTGTTGCTGTGTTTGCTGCTGTTATTGTTGTTGTTGTTGCTGTTGTTGTTGTTGTTGTTGCTGCTGTTGTTGTTGTTGTTGTTGTTGTTGTTGTTGTTGTTGTTGTTGTTGTTGTTGTTGTTGTTGTTGTTGTTGTTGTTGTTGTTGTTGTTGTTGATGG